CCAAAACATTTTCACATTACAACCTCATTTTTAACCCTTTCACACACTGGTGAGAAAGGAGGAGTAGCAAGTTTTGCTCTAATTGGCATATTAGGAAATTTATGCTAATAGAGATTTAGTTAATGGCAGAGTACAAATCTCCTGACTTTCAGTGCTAGCCTCCTCCGCTATCATAAGTTGGATGAGTCTTTTGGGGTAAATGTGAAAAGGTATGCAACTGGATTATTCATGGAAGAGAAATAACCTGATAAGTTATATTAAATTACTGCAGGAGTAGATAAAAAACAAAGTTCTATTTCCTCTGTTGAGATTTTGACTTTGAATCCCACTGTGAAATGGATTAGAATGTTCTGTTAGGATGTAGGCAATATACAAACCCAGAAAAGGTGCATTTTATATTCTTTTAAATGGATGATTTCTCCTGGGACTTCTTTACATTCTGAAAATTCACTTTATTATTGCATCCCAAGGTTTGTGGCTCTAAATGCCACAGCATCTGAGTCTAACTTTTATTGGTGATATTTGTGGTTATCACTTTCTACTGTCATCTCCCCCATTTTCTTTGTTTTGTCTCAGAGATACAATTTGATTTATGAATGAGGGCTTTTTGATTCTTCAAGAAACATTTTGGTGAGTTGGTTCAATAACTTATTATTGAAAAGTAAAATCCATCAGGAATGAAAGAAGAAGAAATCACTCCTAGAGGCCAGCTGTTTATTCATCAGTCATGCCACGTTTTTGTGTTTGTGATGACATATTGGTATTTATTCATTAAATATGTCCATAAAAGTACTTAGCCTAAAAAACAGCTTCATAATGTCTTCTAAAATTCAACAATTAAACAAGAGTCCTAGTCCACAAGGCCATATGCACAACGACACTCAGAAAAACAAAGCCTCTACCAAGAGAGCACACACGGAGCAGCTTGGCGGAGCACATGGAGAGGGACCAGGAGAATGAGACAGGAGCCCACACTTGGAGATGCGCTTCTGTGTCGTGAGCCCGAGGAACTCACACCTTTTGGCTGTTGTCTCCCTTTATCAGTCTGAGAGTTCCCCTGGGCATATATGGAGGCATATTCTAACTTCCTTAAGAGTGACATTATATAGGTAATTCAAGTCAAACTCAGAGAAACCAAACTGGTGGCCGGAGTCTAAACTTTTGCCTACATGTATAGGTTCATAGTTCATTTGAGTAACTGTACAGATTTAGTGTCTCAAAAATTGGGTATTGCAATGAAGAATTGCCTCATTCTTCAACCAGACATTTATCCCTGGATGCTTCTTTGTCATGTCACAGTCTTATCAGAAATGGAAGCTTTTTTCTTTGGTGCACTCTTGGCACTAGCATAGAAGATACAATGAGACAAAGGAAAATTTTCATTATATTTTCTATATGTTATCCATATTTAATAATCATATTCAGTTGGACTCTTTGCTTGCATGTGTCAGATAACACTGTGTAACCTTCCCTCTTGAAAACCACAGCTGTCAGGCAACTGTTTTTTTTCCAGGAAGTTGGCATCTGCCTTCCCATCAAAAATATTTGGAGAGCTTTAAAGAATGTACGTCTTGGGCCTGGCACTATAGTCTAGTGGCTAAAGTCCTCACCTTGCATCTGCCAGAATCCCATATGTGTGCCGGATCATGTTCTGGCTGTTCCATTTCCCATCCAGTTCCCTGCTTGTGGCCTGGGAAAGCAGTTGAGGACGGCCCAAAACCTTAGGACCCTGCAGCCGCATGGAAGACCTGGAAGAAGCTCCTGGTTCCTGGCTTTGGATTGGCTCTGCTCTGGCCATTGTTACCCCTTATATAGGGGCTAAAATTATTTTTTAAAAAGAAATAAAGAAAGAAATGCCCCAGTGTACATTTTTATTTATCCATTTATTTATTTGAAAGGCAGAATGATAGAGCGAGTGAGAGAGAGAAATCTTCTGTCTACTGTTCATTTAGCAAATGACCATCTACTCTGCACTGCGCCCTCACTCTCCCCCTAGATTCATTTGGAGAAAGCTAAATGTGAAGCAGAAGTGGGTCCAGGCTCTCTGACACAGGGTGTGGGTATCCCATCAGATGGCTTAACCCCATTGCACAATACCTGCCCCCATGTGTTTTTTAAAGTGAGAATTTTTGGCTTTCGATGTGTATGATCTGATACAATTGCACTATGGGGCAGAAGTGGAAAAGGATTGTTTTGCAGGCATAGAATAACACACATGTTGAAGCAGAATCTCCTCTCAACCCTGGATAATTGCAAGTTGCCCTACTTGGTATCATACTGCCCTTACTTCTAATGTTCCTACCCAGAATCATCTGCTGCTCTCCACCTGTAGTTTACAGCACTCCCAAGCTTATCTCTGCTGTGTGCATTTTTCCATTTCTCCCTCTCTTTCATTTCAACGAGCCCTCTTACTTATTACTGAATGTCTTCCTGTAATTACATGACTCCCTATATTGAACTATTGCTACTTGTTCTATTGGAGTTCTTAAAGATGATATTTTTATGATTTAGAGTTTTCCTCACCCCATCTAGTTTCAAGTCCTTGGGAAATCTGATGAAGTTAGCCTTGATATTTTTCATCCAGGAAATGAAAATTTTGCAGAAGGTGAGTCTTATGATCATTTTGGGTAGGTAAGATACATGGGACAGAACTGTAATATTAGGGTTTTTGGTTTTTTTTAGCTGAGAACTTTAATGTTGTATTGTAGAGTGATAAAAAATTAAAGAATAATCATTTTTTCCAAAGGGTATTCTCTAACTATAAAGTTATCATTGAATAAAAGGCAAGGGGATCCCAAAAACAATAAAGAAGGCTTACAAGAAAAACTGAAAAAAAAATTTTTTTGAGAATCAAATGTTTCAACACTACTAGGACCAGCTGTTTAACAGTGAGGCAAGTGTTGTGCTGTGGGGATGTCAATGAACAGTGTTAATGGCACTGTCCATGTTCATCATTTCCTGCAAAGGAAATCTTAGCATGAGTGAGCATATGCATGGTAGCTGGGGTGGGCAAGAAACTTGAGAATGTAAGAGCACAAACCATGAAATCTGCCCAGTATATAAAAAGTATAAAGTATACTTCTACGAAGAGTCTTACAACATTCATTCTATAGATAACTACTTGATTTGCTGGGTAACTAATAGGTGTATTTATTTCACAGTTTCACATGTTTACATTAACCTCAAATGATCTTTACAAGGGATTTTGCAGCAGATATTTTCTTTAAAGTCCTTTTTTAAAAAAAAATCACAAAGATGATCAAACCATACAATTGCATTCCACCTCTTTTAATCAACCCATTCCCATAAAAAACATTTTGTTAGCATACCAGGCGATCAAACTCTTTGAAATGGAATTGTAGACATTATCACAATGGGAAAAAATGAGGGCCTAAGGGAACAGGGGTTTATAGAAATGATCTTCTAAAATAATGGGTTTGGAAAATGTAAAATTGTGCATATATTAGGAAAGGGAATTAGAGATTTAAGATGGTGTGATTCTTCAAATGACCAAGGCTGAACAGGAGGCTTGTCTGGCACCCTGGAAAATCACCATGTGTGTTGCTATTGGTTTAGCCTGGTCAGATAACAGGAAAAGAGAGTTGCATCTGTGCTTTCTGTGGTAAAAAGAAACTGGCTGGGCTTGGAGAAGGCAACTTACCTGTTACCTGAACATAGAATCTTTGCTATGTCCCATTGTTACAAAGTTTAGAACCCAAGGCCAACATTCTGTTGCTCAGGCACGCAGATAAACCACTCAGGTGGCCCAGCCAGGAGGATCAGGGATAATACAGCTCATTGTCTAGTAAAGTGTCATTTCTGGTCTTAACAGCAGAAGAACAAAAGCTTCTTTTGCAAAGAGTCATGATGGTTTCTGCTGGAAAGTATTGGCAGCGCAGAACGAATGACAGAACAACAGAGGAATCTCTTGTCAACCTGATACCTTTAGTACCTCACCAGTTTCTGAGTAAAGGTAGCTAGAAAATGGACTACATTCTGCAAGTCTTTTAGTCAACTGTACATATGAAGACATCTAGGAAAGAAAAAGAATTCTTCCATTTCAATTACTGATGTGGGAATGGGATTTTTGAAACCAACAGAAATGATTTAGAACTGATATGCTTATCATAGTAAGGCAATGAGACAAGCTTGATGGGAACTGAAGTCCTCAAGTCCTTCAAATCTGAGGAATCTATTACATCTTGAGAACAAAGATTCAGATATTAGATTATTGAGCAATTTTCTTCAACTTACACCTGATTGTTTTTTAAATAATAGGCCTTACTAGAATTTGGGGATGATTCTGTGGTATTAAATAATACTCACTACTTAAAAATTCATCTTTAAGTTGAGTTAGTACAATGACTTCTAGTGAACTGAAAAGCTCATATTTCAGTTGATTCAGAAATGAAAACTGAAAAATATTAATTTCTGCCTAGATAACAATATGTTATATAAATACAGCAGGTAAAACTAGTAACAAGTTTAGGATTTCAGGAATTAGTGTGTACGGTTATTTTGGAAGCAATCCCTGACAGTGGATAGTCACCTGATACATAGGACAGAGTCCTTTCCATTTTCTATATGAGATGGATACAGACCAGGGAACCACTGAGCAGGCAACCCTTAGTAGGTTTGTAATATTGGGTTCTATGGGGATTTTCTGTAAGTACGGACAGGAATGGATGGGTATTTCTAGTCTGTATATGACCACTTGATATGGTGTATTTATTTCAGTTTCACATCTTTACAATTATCCAGTGTTTAACTGGAGTCTAAGATAAGTTGCTCTCTTTAATATATATATATATATATATATATATATATATATATATATATTTGAAAATTTCAAATATGTTCAAACCATACAACTACATATCACCTTTTTAAATCAACCCATTCCTATTAGAAATATTTTGTTAGAATATCAGAAGATCAAACCTACTGAAATAACATTGCATAAGTATCTCAAAGATAAAAAGGGTTACAGTCAGGTTTGGATGATGCCAGGATTTCTAGCCAATTTAAAGTAACAGTTGGAGGTCCATTCTTTGAGGAAACATACTTGCCATTTTAGTCACTTGTATTACTGTTTGGTTAGGGTACATAGTTGGCATAGAAAACCATTTGCATCATTACTTAGCTCCATTGAAGACCTATGGCATGCAAGAAGTTCAATACTGGTTCAAAAATACATGTAATATGCCCAGTAAAATACATTGGTTATCATAAAAATCAAAGGAAATAATAGTTTAGAATAGCGATCAACATTGCTGGGATTTTGAATTGTGAAATAATCAACAATCCTGCCCATTTTTTCTCGGAAGACAAACTTAAACTTGTCACTGGTTTTCATTGTTAAGTCACTATAGTTGACATTGTCACCAGAAATTTCAATGCTGGCAAAGCTGATCTTTCGTTTAAAGCTGGAGATGGAGCTGTTGATGATGTTGGTAAGGTTGACTTCTTCCACTTCCTTTGTTTTTCCCTAGTACATAAACAATGCATTAGCTTGTAAGACTGAACTCGGCAAAATAAATCTGGAGGTAATGAGCAAATGAAAAGTTTAGGGACATAGACAATGAATTAAGTTTAATGTTAGTGACATGATGTGCCTCTGAAACTGGCTATAAGCTGCATGGGTTACTCTTGGTCACACTTGGTACAACAGGTTGAATTACAATTGCCCATTCTGGATACGCAGAGCAGTGTGCTCAATCAGGATTCAAATCCCATTCTGCGTCTCATCATTATGAAACTTGAGCTACCTTCATCTTGCTATGATCATTCAATATCCTCACCTGCAACATGGTGATGATATTAATTCACCTCATGAGATTGATGAGAGCACAGAATTATATAAGTATTATGAAGTATCTGGAAGGTGTTTGAAGAATTCCATTTTATTCCAGGGAAGAAAAGGTAGCCTATTACAAGAGCTAGTAGAAGTGAACTATTTCTGAGTTCTTTGCTATATAAACAGTCATACATCTTGCAATTTTAGGGAGCTCTCAGTTTCCGAGAACTGGAAAGGGCAATGCAGAATGCAGGGAGTGTAGTGATGTCAGAGAGAGCGTGTTATAGGCACTTGGCCAACCTATTTGCTAGGTACAGAGTCTTGGACAAGTGGTGGATTCCTCAACAGCAAAATCAAGACAATGATGGTACTCATTTCTAAGGTTTGTTGGGTGGAGTAATGGAGATGTTTCTAGAGCACAGCAAATACTCTGTGGTGTATCTGCTGTTTTGTCCAGAGCAAAATAAGGACATGCAGGTGGCATTAGTGGAGGAGCCCAATAATTCTCCAACTTTCTTTTTGTTTGCCCAGAGACTCTGGATTTTTAAGGGGGTAATTCAACTTATTTCCTCTTTAAGGAAGCCAAAAAAGAGTAAAATAAATGAAGCCCATAATGTTCTTTGGCTTGCACATATAGTCATTTGCTTGTGGTGCTTGATAGTAGGACTGTACAACACACGGCTCACATCACATGTGAGTCTAGTTTGAGTACAGGTTGCTCTGTTTCCAATCCATCTTCCTGCTAATATGTCCTAGGAAGGCAGCAGATGATGGGCCAAGAGCATGAACCACTGCCAATCCATGGGGGACTGCGATGAAATTCTCAGCTCCTGGCTGTGTCCTGGCTCAGCTCTATTACTGATATTTGGGCTGAGAATCAGAAATTGGAAGCTTTCTCTTTACCCTTGCCTCTGACACTGCCTTTCAAATGAATGAATGAGTTAATGAATGAATGAATAAATAAATAAATATTTTTAAAAAAGATGTGCTGCTTGCAAAAGGCTTGTTACTATATTTGGCATATGTGGATACTTAATAAATAATAACTTATTATTATTCATAGAACTGGCATTTCACTGCTGAATCAAATAATGACTGTCTTTATCACTTAGCAAGAAAAATCAAAGAGATTTGTCATGATTTAATTTTCCACATTTCAGTCAACCATTACTCATACAGCTTAAGAATGTAAGAATGAAACAAAATAGTGAAATAGTCATGAACTCTATAAGCAGTTCATAATGTTTGGTCTTATATTGTATTTTTCATCAATATTTGCTTTTATGTTGATTTTGTGTTGCCTACGAGTAACACTATTCTGCCAGAAAATGAAACAGATTGCTATCTCATTGTACTTGGTGAAAAGAATGGTCATTATCCAGGGCACCATGACATTCAGATGTGTCTACCTAAAAGCAAGGATAAGACTCAGGGTTGGGGGGAGAGTCAGGAACCAAGGGCAGTTCATAGTTGCAAACCAGCACATGACCCCGGTTCAGAGACAGGGGCCTCAAAATCCTTACCCTATCTTTGGCTGCCATCTGCTGTAGGGAGCTGTAGTGAGCAACTGCATATTCCAATAAGGCCCCAAACACGAAGCTAAAGCAGATCCCCAGGTACACATCGATGGCCTTGATGAAGCAGTTGGTGTTGGGAAGAGATGTGCGAGACCCAATCATCAGTGTGGTCATGGATAAAACAGTGGTGACTCCTGGGAAAGCAGGCCGGAAAGGTCCCAGTTAATCTCCCATTAACCAACAGAGCTCTCCATCCTGGAGTAGGCATAAGAAGGACGTGACTCAGCCATGGAACATGTCTTGCTCTGAAAAAATGTGCAACATTCTGAATTGGAGCTGATTTGTCCATTTCTTACAGACACGAATGATTGAGATTTTAAATAAAATAACTGACTATGCATTATGCTATCACAATTACGTGTCCCTGCAAAGTGCTGAGTTTAAAAATGCACTGCTGTGAAGGAATCTCAGAAGAAGCCGACTGTTGCAATGCCTTGTGAATATCAATGAAGAAAAAACATGCTAAGTATCAGAACCCCCAGTTCTTAGTGACCTGTGGAAGCTGCTTACCAATGCAGGTTCTTGCAGGAACTGAATCCAGGGAGATCCAAAATGACACCCAGGATAATACCACCAAGAAAGTTGAGGGGACGTAGGTTTCCAAAATGAAATACAGAACATTTCTCCGAAGCTCAAACTGCAACACCAGTCGTGTGTAATTTCCTGCAAGGATGAACAAGGGCTGTGAAACCATGCCTATTCACACAGCAGCATGGTTTCCCTGGGGGATATTTAGCTCAGCTACACTCACATTCAGCCCTCTGGTATTCATGATAATCTAGTTTCATTATGTGTTGTTCGTATGTTTTCCAAAAAAAAAATGTCCTTGCCTTGGCATGGGATAGGATCACACAGCTCTCTTCCTATTCTGCCTTTCTGCATCACACTATCCACATAGCACAGTATTCCAGCAACATTATAACCACCGGTTTCTGTGACGTCAGCTTCAAACTCTCTCTCACAAGCAGTTGTTCAATAAATGCCTGTTTCATGGAGATGGCCTGGGTCCATTGTTTAACATCATGAAGGATCTTTCCAAGCTGGTGGAGAGGTAGCCATTGGCTTGGCAGGTTATATAATACTTGAGATGCCTGTATTTCCTGTCTGAGTGCCAGAGTTCGAGCACCTGCTCTGCTACTGATAATGTGCACCCTGAGCGGCAGTGAGTTATGGTTCAAATCATTGCCTTGTTGCCACCCAAGTGGGAGGCTCACACTGAGTTCCTGGGTCCCGGCTTTGTCCTCACATAGGCTTTGTCCTGCTGCAGGAGTTTGGGGGAGGGAACCAATCAATGGGCATTCTCTCCCTCATCTCGTTTCCAAGAAAACACATACATAAAAATTAAATATATTTTAAATTTCACCTTTTCTTAAAGGTTTATTCGTTTTTACGTGAAAGGCAGATTTACAAAGAGGTCTACACAAAGATTCCATTTCTGGCTCAGAGTACCACCATCCACTCCATTTTTAGCTTACTCAATTTGTCATTCAAGTTACCTGTCTCCTGTTGTGATGTGGTGACCAAGGTGAAATAGCGCTGGATAGTGTACTGAGCAAGGCGTAGGTTTTCTAGCCCACGCACAGAGTCATTTCCTCTTAGCCAGGTGAACTCCACATCATTTCCATCGTAGCCCCCTGTCAAATCAAACAGCCATAGTCAGTGAAGGGATGAATTGATCCGGAAATGCTACAATATAGAGACAGTATATGCTTTAACTTGAGGATGACACGTTCAAGAATGAATCCTTGCAAAACTTGGCATGACTATCCAAATACAATTGCAGGGTCTATTCAGAATGAAGTGGCCTGCAAGGATGATTCACAACCACTGACAGCTGGTCCTGTGCTAAGCAATGTTGGGTCACAAGCCTTTAGAAAAGATCTCTTCACTTTTTGTGATTGACTTATTTCACTCAGCATAATGGTCTCTAGTTGGGACCATCTAGTTGCAGATTATATAATTTCATTCTTTTTAATGGCTGAATAATATTCCATGGAGTAGATGTACTACAGTCTCTTTAGCCACTCCTCTTTGTATGGGCATCTGGATTGCTTCCATGTCTTTGCTATTGTAGATTGTGCTGCTGTAAGTATAGGATCACAGAGAAATACCATACATTTTTTCTAATATAAGGAATCCATCATGCAAATCGGAATGTATACTGGTGGAGTAATGGAGACTACCTTATCTAGAAGTGAAGACACAATGTCACATGCATCTCTGCCTCCAAACAGAAGATGGATTCCCAAAGAAAGTGTTGGGCATATCTAGACAGTGGGATGCTGGACTGTCCGACATTGTGTGTACCAGTATTATCGGGGCACACTGACATAGCAGACTGATGGAACTGTAACTCCTTATGAAGAGTATGGCATTATGGGAAAAATCAATTGAGAGGTGGAAAATGGGGGAGGGGAATCCTAGACTTTACAGACTTGCATGATAAATTTTAAAAATAAAAAATAAATTAAAAAAAGAAAAGGTCTCCTGCAATATGTAACTGGAATTTACTCAGCACATATCTGTGAACCAACAGAGAGAGCCCTATGCTAGGTCCTGCCTTTCCAGACACACCAACAATTCTGAAGACTTCAAGAACCATATTTCCACATTGGCACAAACCCCAAAGCAAAGTTGAAAATTCTACAACTTGCCACTTTTTTGGTGTCTGTAAACATGTATGTTTGATAAAAAATCAGCTTACTAATATAATTGGTAATAGTAGTAACAGAGGCTTGCATGAAATATTTATGTTAAATCCTCCACTCACAAACTTGCAAGAGATTTTCTATATTTTTTCAATTCTAAAATGGACATGATCAGTTTTTAAAAGATTTATATATTTGAAAGTAACTGTGAGAAAGAGATAGATAGATAGGTGGATCAACAGACAGATATATCTTCCGTCCACTGGTTCACTTCCCAAATTGCGTTACTAGCCAGGGCTGGGCCAGGTCAAAGCCAGGAGCCTGAAACTCCATCCTCGTCTCCCATGTGGGTGGCAGGGGCTCCAGCACTTAGCCCAGCTTTTGCTGCTTTCTCAAGACATTAGCAGGGGCCTGGATCAGAGATGTAGTACTTGGGACTTCAACCAGTGCTCTAATATAGGATGTGTTTTAACTCTATGTGCTGCAATGCTGATCCTTAAGATGAACATATTTCTAAAATGCTCTAAAGTTGCAAGGAATATATTAAATGTGATACCATTGATATATTATATTTAATATATCATATATAGCAGACTTTGTATTTCTTCCTAAACATGATTATCCCATTAGAATTGCATAGCTATGTGTTTTTCCATCTTATACATGAAAATTCTCTCTCTCTGTTTAAAAGATTTGTTTATTTATTTGAAAGGCAGAATTAACAAAGAGGAGAGACACAGAGAGACAGCCTTCATTCACTGGTGCACTCTCCAAATGGCTACAAAGGCTGGTCCAAAGCCAGGAGCCAGAAGCCCTGTCTGGATTCCCCATGTGGGTACAAAGGTCTCCCATGTGGGTACAGAGCCATCCTCTGCTGTCCTCCCAGGTACATTAGCAGGAATTGAACCTGAAGCAGAACAGGAGCGCAAACGTATCCAAATGGGATACTTGGGCTGTAGGCAAAAGCTTAATGTGCAATGCCGAGGCCTTGGCTGCTCCATGAAAACTCTTCAGACAGCCTTGCATAACTGTTTTTAAATCACAAGGCAAGCAAGAAACAACGTCAGGATTTTAAGAACATAAGTTGAATCTCAAAGCCATCTATGATGATGATAAAATGCTAATAGTATATCTGCCATTTAGTAAGCAGTTACGTTTGCAAGTGTCTTATAGCTTTATCATCCCAGTTTATCTTCAAAATGATCCTTTGAGAAGATATATGAATCATTAATAAGCACAAAAATGTTTACCATTATTATTGATTAGGGTAACACACTACTTCACACCCAAAGAATAGCCATGATAAAAATGTGTGGAAGTTTATTTTAAAAAATAGTAATTACATTGCAAGAGTTACCAAGAGATAGAGGGAGAACTTGTGCATGAGTGTTCCATCTGCTGGAATAACAGACAATAACCAATGCTGAGGGAATGGGGAAGCTGTCACATAGCTAATATGACTCCCTCGGAAAAGAGTGACAGGGACTGGCATTATGGAAGAGTGAGTTAAGCTACTGCCTCAATGCCAACGTCCTAAGGCTATGCTTAGAGTCCCAGCTGCTCCATTTCCAATCTAGCTCCTTGCAAATGTGCCTGGGAAAGCAGTGGAGAATGGTTCAAGTGTTGGACCTCTGAACCCATGTGGGAGACTTGGAAGAAGCCCTGGGGTCCTGGTTTTGGCTGGGCACAATTCCAGCCATTGTGGTCATTCGGGGCATGTGCCAGAAGATCTCACGCATCTCTTTTCTCTCTGGCAACTCTTTGGCAACTTAGCTTTTTAAATAAACAAAACAAAACAAAAACCTGAAAAAACAAGAAAAGAAAAATGTGTGGAAGTTTATTTTAAAAAATAATTGGATTACGTTGAAAGAGTTACTAAGAGACAGAGGGAGAACTGGTGCATGAGTCTTCCATCTGTTGGTTCCTTCCCCTAGGTGGCCACAGTGAGCCAAAGCCAGGAGCCAGGAACTTTATGTAGGTCTCCTATGAGGATTCAGGGGCCCTTGGACCTTCTCTGCTGCTTTTTTAGGCATTTAACAAGGAACAAGATTGGAAGTAGAGCAGCTGGCAATCAAACTGATTCCCACATGAGATGCCGACACGGCAGGCGATGACCTCACCTGTTATGCCAAGACACTGGATCTGTGGTAGCATTTCTTAAACACTTAAATTTAACACTTGATCTAAAATTCCTCCCTAAGGCATCTACCTAAGACAAATACAATGATGTACATGTAAAACTTGTGCACAAATCTTTACAGCAACGTCACTTGCAAAACCCAAAGAATCTATACTGGTACCTGTGCCTGTAGTTTATCTGTACCTTGACTGATAGCTCTATCTATTTCCACATAAAGGAATTCTCAGGATCCAAGAGGAACAAATCCTATAACATATATGAATCTCAAAAAACATTTTGCTAAGTTGAAGAAGCTACATGCAAAAAGTCACATTTTGTATTATTTCAATGATACAAAATATCTCAGAAATAAATTTCCATGATGATAGAAAGCAGGTTAGTGTCTGCCTATGAGGTAGCGGTGGGAATAGGGAGAGACTTCAAATGAGCACATAGTGAGAGAAGTGATTCACCAAAGCTGCATGGCGATGGTTGTACAACTCCTTACATTCATCAAAAATCTCCTATTACTTTAAGCTAGGTGACTTTTGTTTAAAAAGATTTATTTTATTTTTATTGGAAAGTCAAATATACACAGAGGAAGAAGAGCTTCTCTCTGTTGATTCACTCCCCAAGTGGCTGCAACATCCGGAGCTGAGCCAATTTGAACCAGGAGCCAGGAACCACTTCTGGGTCTCCCACGTGGCTGCAGGGTCCCAAGGCTTTGGGCCATCCACCACTGCTTCCCAAAGCCACAAGCAGGGAGCTGGATGGGAAACAGGGCTGCTGGGTTTAGAACTGGTGGCCATATGGGATCCCAGTGCGTTCAAGGCAATGACTTTAGCCACTAGGTTACTGTGCCAGGCCCTAAAATGGGCAAGTTTTAATGTTATATGCCCATCCCCCATAAAGCTGTTGAAAGACAACCTACTTATTTTTTTTCCTTGTTTTACAGGTGAGGATACTGAAGACCAGGAAAATTGGCTACTCACCCAAAGTCACACAATTAGGGATAGGAAAAGTCTAGTGATTCCAGTATGTGTGATCTTAAACTCAGAACTCAACTGCCTTCCATTTCAAAGGCTACTAGGAAATATGACACTAGCTTTTGGCTTATGATGGCTGTAATGAAGCATGAGCTAAATCCCTGTTCACAGTCAGAGAAACATGGTCGTGAGCTTGTAGGGGATTTTCAATAAAAAATGTGGGACTTTCCCTTAGAAGCATTCAAAAAGATTTTGAAGACAGCTTAGCTGTCTACACAGGTGTGAGACCCTACCCCATCCCCCAAATGAAACGTACCTATAAAAATAAGTAGTGCAAGTTTGTACTTGGACCTTTTGCTTTTACAAGGAACACATGATCATAAACCATTGCACCATCATCTCTTTGTCCCTGGGGTATATGGGAAATGGTGAGGTGGTACCCATTTTCCAGGGACGGCGTTTAGAAAAGAACCCTCAGTGAGGTTTCTGTACCCAAATAACTGCTAATAAACATTCCGTAAAGGCTCCCTCTGCTCGCTTGGGGATGGTATCTGGGTAAGCGGAGTGCTGCCGTTTCCAGGAGAATCTTGCTCCTGGGATTTGAGATGAGCCCAGCAATGACACATGCAAGCCAATTACTTCTTCCATGTGGGACTAAAATGAGCCCTCTTTCTAATAACTTCGCGTTTTATTCTGCCACCCAACAGCTGTATTGCTTCAAGACGGGTTTGCATGCATTTAATCAGTAAAATAATTAGTCTTTACTTAAATGTCTACTTCTGAAAAATGGCTTCTACCGGTTGTGCTTCTGGGATGTTGGCCACCATGTCCTCATGAGCCAAGCACCTGCCTGTCTCTGAAGCATGGCTGTTTCCTGTCCTCACACACCTGGGTTTTTGTGCCCTAGTATGTCATATCCATGGCACAGCTTTTCCAGCATGGGTGCCCAGATTGGGTGAGTATTTCAGAGTGGTTTATAGCAAAGATTATTTAACAATGCCAGGAAATTACTCGGAAACACATTGATTTAGAATCAATTCTTGTTCTTCGTCATAAACAAATTCCCAGATGATCATTCAGATCTGGCATTACTGCGTTAGACTTCACATGCCAGCGACCATTTTGTGCATTTGTTATTTCTGACCTCAGCTGTGTTCCTTCTTGATTCTATGCCTTGGTAGATTCTGTGTTCTACTGATTCTTCATCTTTTGAGCCAATCTCAAAGTCATGTGTCAGGTGACACATCTCCTAGGACACCTCTGATGCCTCCAGGTCTTCATACATCATTAGTTTTTACCATTATCATGTATTGTCTCATAATTATTCCAAAGTTCTAAATTAGATTAAGGACATCTTGAAGACCGAACCATCAGTTTATCTTTGCATTGATCCTATCTACCACCATGTGTAACACAGAGCAATTGCTTTGTGTGGAATAGTTGCAGTGAACACATTTAAGTGAAGACAGAGAGGAAGAACTTGACTAGCCACCTGGACTACCTGGAAACTACAGCAGAATGATACACTAAACTAATGACTAGCATGAGACTAAAGGCTTTCCTTGGGACCCACAGGAAAGGAAACATGCTGACCCTTTTCCTAAGTCATGCAAAGGAACTGGTGCAGAAATATATTTGGAATCATGCTTTGGTCTATGGTTCAGTAGGATTTGGACAATCCCAAAAAAGTATCACATGATAATTCATTTAAAAAATAATGATAGTAAATGGGTACTGGGGAACTTGAAAGAAGTTATTAAAAGCTTTTCACTATCCTCAGATTGCTGTTTAAAAATATTTTATGGTACCCTCAGAAACAAAATACAGCTGAGATTACAAGCAATTCTCTGGAGCAATAGCTCAGGGTAGCTGCAGCTGAATGAAAGGGCTGTCCGATCAGGAGGCCTTTGCACCCACACAATCTGGATTAAAGTCTCAGCGTTGATATGATTTATTTACTGTATCCCTTTGGGAAAGTTACCAAAGCTCAGTGATACAATTTCTGTGTCTGTAAGATAAAGCAAGCATTATTCATCTGGTAGGATTGTTTAAAAAGCATCTCATAGATGTCCTAGAATGAAAATGCATGCTCTAGTACTTAACAGGAAAAGGACATTTATATTATCATTACTGTTGATGAAAAAGTTGTTTGTTCAAAACCAGAGAAATATCGAATTGGGGTTCTGTAATACCTGTTGGTATTGTTTACCAGAAGTCCCTAGTTCACTAGTCTCTACTTTCCTTTGCAGAGGTCAATTAGGCTGTTTTGGGAATCACAGTGCCTTTTCTAACTCATTGACAAATGAAGAGATTAACAAAGGTCAATGGCCTCTTCAACAGCTTCTTCAGGGGTCTGAGGTCGATTTCTATTTTGATTGTGTGATGGAGGGTGAGATGGACAAAGGTTATGGCCTTATGTGATTTATTAAGAACTCACCTATCATTACAGACCTTTTGAGGATTAGTACCTAAATAGATGGCATAAATGGACAAATATTTAGATATTAGGGGAGAGTCTAGACCTATATTCACCAAAATGTTTTCTGTAAAACAATTGTCCCACAAGAGCACCCCTGAAGCAGTATAACTTGATAAAGTAAGTTTGGGAAATGTTATCACTGCCTCCTGGAATTTCACTTGTAATTAGTTTTTTTTTTTTAAGAGGCTCTTAAAAGTTCTGCAGCAGAGAAGAATGTTAATAATTTAGGTTTTGTAGGCCAGACAGACTCTGTCACAAGCACTCAGTTCTACCATTGCAGTACAAAAGAGAGACAAATTCCCCCAAAGAAGTTTCAATTACAGAGACAGGTGATGGGTTGGTTTTGGTGCACGGGCCATTGTATGCTGACCTCCTGGTCTAGACCACTGCTTACATTCAGGGTCTTGTCCACTCACAGGTGGTGACATTTGGCATGGGCACATAACACGCCTCCCCTAAAAACACAATACTGGAAGGTTTTTTCTGAGGAGTCTTTAGATTTGTCTGTAGTAAGAAGGGCTGAAGGAACTTGTGAATCCACAAACAGAAAAGAAAGGCCACTCTGCTCATTTCTGGGATATTGTTCATGAACTCACAGACCCAAGTTTCCCAGGAAACTCATCACTGGGCAGCTGCAGGATACTCACAGCTCTCCAGCTGCAACTTGCACGTCTGTGTGTCCATGGGGTATTTAGAAAGATCCATGTTGCACGCTACCGTTGTCGTGATTCTAAGAAAAGTCAGTTCAAAAAGAGTGTTATGAAGAAGTTATAAAAGTATTCCTTACATTTCAATAACTTTCATTTGGAATTTCCACATTTCAATGAGAAACTTTCACTTCCTTACAGTGATGTGTGGCTTGGAGCCTACATTCACAGTATCCTTGAGGTGCTCTGTCCCAAACAACACTTCTGAGACTCAGGTGAGAAAGGTGGGATGTTGTCAGTTCAGGCACAGACTCTACACCAATGTTGCAGAATAGACTCACTTGTTTGCTTGTTGGAGATGCTGCTGCATTCAGTTTCTAAGGTTAACCTTTAGACAAAACCACACGGGCTGGAATTGTGATCATTGTCACTGCCGTCACCTTTGGTAACAGACCTGGGGGTTGTCTAGACTCATGCAGCCTTCAGTGGTAGAGCTGACACTGTGCCCCAAGTCTCCTGGCTGTGTTCCCCTTTCAGTTCCCTGCCTCCTGGAGGAGGGTTCAGGAGGTCATCAGGATCTGTGGCTCCTGGGATATTCAACTAATGCTCAGCAGAGATGCAAATCAATAAGCTCTTCATTTTCCTTCTTCTTTAGTGCCATACATTTCTATTAAGCACTTCCAATTATTTGATTTTTTAGCTATTTTTAAAAATTAATTTATTTTATTTGAAAGCTAGGGTTACAGAGGAAAGGAGAAACACAGAGAGAGAGATCTTCCATTTGCTGGTTCACTCCTTAAATGAGCACAATGACTAGAGCTGAGCTGATCCAAAGCCAGGAGCCAGGAGGTTCTTCCAAGTCTCTCAGATGGGTACAGGGTTCCAAAGACTTGGACCGTCATCCAACACTTTCCCAGGCCATAAGCAGGAAGCTGGATGGGAAGTGGAGCAGCCAGGACATGAGCCCGCACTCAAACAGAATGCCAGCACCTACTACATCATGGCATCTGCCCAAGCACTCTTATTATTAAGCACTGTGCTAGGTGTCTGGGGGAGGGGCAGGTGATGACATCACAATGCCACCAGGAGGAAGCTTATACTCCCTTAAAGGAGATGGAGAGTAGCTGATTATTATTTACCAAGTGCTCCCTGAGCTGAAACCTTCACACTCCTTAACCCTTTGCACAAGTCCAGCACACAGATATGAAAAATAATGTACTTCCCCATTTGGCTGCTAAGGAAATTGGCTTTGAAAGCCAAGGGGCCACAGAGCTTCTAAGGGGCATAGCAGGGACTTGCTCTCTACTCTGTCTGACACTGTTAGTCATTACCCATCGTTTGTAATCTCACGCAAGATTGTGTTCTGTGTCCCGGTATGAAGAATGCACACGTATGTACAAACACCCACATATGTAAATGCTCACACATGCTGTAGGATCATGAGAAGGGACATTAATGCTGGCTGAAGATGATGATCAAAGGAAGGGTCTACTTAGGGCTCATGGAAGAGGAATTGAGGGGCTGTTGTGATGCAATGAATTAAACCACCAGCTGTGATGCTGGCATCCCATATAGATGCTGGTTTGAGTCCCAGCTGCACCATTTCCAATCCAGCTCCCTACTGATATTCCTGGGAAAGCAGCAGAGGACAGCTTGGCACAGAACATGTGTTTGGTAGAGCCTTGTTGAACAACATTGGACTGGGAAAGGGTTTCTCTTTTGTAAGAGCAGGATTGGAGGTGATAGGGAAGGGAAGTAGGGTGCCTGAGAGTAGATTTTGCAGTGTGGGTCCGAGAGATCCACAATGCATCCATATGGATCTTGTGTGCAGCTGCTTCCCCTCCTGCTCTGAGGACGCACAGGTTCCTGCTTACCTGAGAGCGTATAGGACTGTACCATTGGAGAAGAGGCGGATGAGCCTGTTTCCCACGGTGACTTCATGGAGGAAGGACTTCTTGGACTCCACGATGTAAGTGTCTGGCACCCAGAGAAACTCCACAAGACGGGCGTCCAGTGTGAAGCTCTTGTTGCCTTCAAAGACCAACCGCTGGTCCATCCAGCGCTGTCGGAGGTATATTGTGGCTGTGTAGTCCTGGGGTTGGGGTAGAGGGATGAATGGGAATGATTGGGGGCAGGAAAGATAAAACAAAATAGAATTGAAGAGGTCAAGTCTTAGTCTGCTTCTCACCTCCACTTGGGTCAAGAGCACACAGACGTGGCTGAATCAAGTTCCCTCACGGTGTGGAGGAGTGCGGCAATGGGAGGGAAAAAACAGCTCTATCTGTTCTAGATATTAACTCCCACTACCACATTGCCTTAAACCAAAGAACCCCTGCCCCTCCAAATTGTTGACTTTCTCTCCTTTCCCCCAATTTTGCTCTGTAGCGAAAACACTTGCTTCATTCCCGGATCTCTCTCCTAGCTTGTGAATCCATTTTTCCCCCTAGATACTCAGAAAATCTATTCTACAAGAATGTTCTCCTGTCCTAATGTTGGGACCACAACTCCAGCTTCTACCGTTCTGAATGGAGGAAGGCTGTGAGTCTGCTTTCCTGCATTTGAGTAGCTAGGGAGAATGTGCCCATTAAATATGGGGAGGCAGACTCCTTGGTGGGATTCATAGGGCCTGCACTTACCATGTTGCTCTCCGATATGCTAGAAATACTCGCAATGTCCAGAGTCAGTGCTATCTGAACCGGTTCTCCTAAACATGAAGAAAAAGAAAAAACAGAAAGATTCACATGGATACGCAAACTGAAGAGTTCCTAACAATGCCTTAGTGCATTGATGAAACTGCTAAAAGTGACGAAAGTAAGAAAAGTACTGAAAATGACAAAACCAACACTTGCCTGTTGGAAAAATGAGAGTTGTCTAGACACATAAAAGATGAATTTGCACCTTCCTCTATTCAGCTTAACTGTTGCATATGGCGTACTCTCCTGTCGTATCCGTAACATGCCTGCACATCCAGCTGCCTCGGTACCAGGCAGACCACACTCCATTAAGTAGTGCATAGTTTAAAGAACATAGTACTGTCAGAGCCACCATGGCTTACACGGGGGATGTGATGCTTGCCTCATCAGTTAGAAATGCAACAGAAGTTTGTGCATCTGTTTGGCCACAGAAGCCGTTTTCTGCCCCCTGAATCAAGCACACTGGCCCACAGCCTTCAAGATGGCTCACACCTGAGTTTTTGCTCATGTTCTTGATGCTTTCCTCACCAGAAACTCTAAACTATTTCTAATTCTGGAATCTTCTGCACAGGATCCTGTGTACAAACTCGGGGGTGGGGGGCCTTCAATCCTGGGTTTGGGGTTAATGGCTCACAACTCATGGCCCTGGAGACTGAGGTCTCAGGGTCACCTTTCCAAGAAGCCAGGGCAGAACAGGTCAGGGTAGTTTGCCCACTATAGCCTAGAGATGGGGAAGACAAGCCTGGAGTTGGGACAATGCAGCTGCAGGTGTCTTTGCTGTCACATTCTGCTCTGGGAACTGGGAAAAGTTTTGGAATCTTCCAGAACTAGTTTTCTCCCCTATAAGTGGGAAGAACAAAATGACATTCAGGGCCATGGAAAGGGTCACTACTGATTAAGATTGTGGCAGCATCTTTGCAGAGTGCCTACCCTGCTCTTATGGAAGGTGCTAACGAATGGTTATCTGTACCAAGCGCCCTCGTAGTGTCTGCATTGTAATCACAGGCACTATGTCACTGATGTTTTGCTTTTCCCATCTCTTCCACAACCCTGGCTAATGTGGGAGCAGGACCCATTTTATTCACCAAGTTCTGCAGCATCATTCATTTGCAGTGACTATCTGGAGAGGTGGAGGATGCCTTGGAGGACAGGGATAATGCATTAGCCAGGAAGAAGAGAAGTGATATTAAAAAGAAGCTTAAACACATCTAATCAGTAGGGGCAGGACCAAGAAGCCTAATTTTCATCCAAGAAAATCAAACCATGGAATGTATGTAGGAATGCAGAAATGGTGCTTTTAGAACCAAGGAAATAAAAATCTAATTAAACAAATTAATTATAAATAATTAAAAAAAATTGAGTGGAAAATGGGGAGACCTTGTGAGTAGTCTCTGGCAGGTGCTGAAAGGGGTGTAGGGCTAAGTGGCTTTCTGGGCTTCCAGGCAACAAGGTGCAGGGTCAAGGAGAGAACCTAGGCGTCCAGATGTGTGTAAATCTCATGCTGGCCTGTTAATAACCCGTGACCTCAAACAACTACTAAACACCTCTGAGCTGCAGTTTCTCATCCTTAAAGGAGTGCTACTAGCACTGCTACAGCCCGAGTGCTTGTCTGCTCCAAAATTCAGGTTTAAATGTAATCGCCAATGCAACAGTGTTAAGAGGTGGGATGTTGAGGGGACTGGTGCACAAGGATATCACCCTTGTGGGTGGGTTTGGTTCTGCAATACAGGAAGGAGTTCAGCCTCCTCTTGCCCTCTTTATCACCTTCTTGCTTTGCGCCATCTGATGATGCAGCCAAAAGACCTTTGCCAGCTGCTGGCATATTGGCCTTGAACTTCTTAGTCTTGAAAACTGAACGCCAATTCATTTCTGTTCATTATGAATTGTCCAGTTCAGGAATATTGGGGTCGCAGCACAAGAGAGACGAATGTAGGGACACACCACCACACAAGGTTGGTTTGGGAAAGGAACAGCATCTATTATAAGTGCTTGGGTGCCAGGGGCTGCTGGCACTGTTAGTCTCTCCCTGCTGAACACAGAATACAGAGAATGCACAGGTGCTCCCCTCCCATTGTGTGTTTGGTTTGGTTGGTTTCTGCATAGCTTAGTCCCAGGCCCTGCTTCTGTTGGTTTCATGTATGGGCCAGAGCTTGCTCCTTTCTTCCCCTAATTTAGAAGCATAGATTGGGCCACCAGAAGAGGGCAGCTCTCGCCAAGGAAAGAGGTCGAAGCAGTCACTGGTTCAGCTGCAAACCTTTGCTCTGTCCAGCAAAGTCCCTGAAAAATCCCATAAAGTCTTGTCTGTTAAGGACCTCGGGGATCTGAGGGCTGAGTGCGCAGACGTTACCGGGAGCCACAGATCTCCACGGGGCACCAGGTGAAAGGTACTTTAAAAGTTTTTGGGAAGTGGAATTAAAAGATAAGTTGCCTCTGGTGCAGGCAGTTTTGAAATTTGTGTATAGATTTTCTATAATATATACGCATTTTGGTGAACTTAACAACTTGCTATGTGCAAAGTTTTGAGTTTTTGCTGGGATGTGGGAGGGAAGAATAGCAGAAGTGCCAAGGTTGATACTGTGGCACGGTAGGTTAATCTGGTGTCTGTGATGCTGGCATTCCATTCAGATGCCAGTTCATGTTCTGGTTCCTCCACTTCCCATCCAAATCCTTGCTAATGCACCTGGGAAAAGCAGTAGGAGATGGCCCAAGGACATGGGTCCCTGATACCCACATGAGAGATCTGAAAGAAGTGCCTGGCTGCAGCCTGGCCAAACTCCTGGCTGTTGCTGCTGCTTAGGGAGTAAATCAGTGGTTGGGAGATTCTCTCTCTCTCCATGTAACTCTGCTTTTCAAATAAGTAAATAAATCTTAAAATAAACCCAACAACCAAAAACCCCTGCAAGGGTCTTAGTTCAGAGCTGAGCAGACACAAAAGTCAGTTTCCATATTACAGGAAAAGGGTTGTGATTTGGAGATTTGCTAAAAAATAGAATGTAAAGAAAGGGGCTGGACCCTGGGGTATTAGCTCAGAGGATGTGACCTCTGTCTTGAGATGGGAAGGAAACTGGGTTTTCTCCCAGGAATCAAGTTGGAAGGAGCAGTTCCACGCAGACAGTCGCTGTGCAAAGAAAGGCATTTGGGATTCACTGTGGAGACCATGAGTGAGTGAGGGGGATGGGGAAATTGAAGAAAGTGAGAATGGCAGGTAGAGGCTGACCTAGCAAGAAACTAGTTGGAGGCATGTGCAAGTGTATAAATGACCCAGGGAGGTCACCCAGGTGGCGGTGTGGAGAGGTAGCCAGCAGGGGTTGGCTAGGGGTAGGAGGACCAGGTGGGAAGTTCTGGAGATGCAGGGAAAAGAGTGAGGCATCAATCAGGTTAGAGGAAAGAGGGTGAGGGACAGGCTGTCAGGAGGCTCTCACTAACTTCTCAGTGGGGAAGTCTAACTTCCTCTTGCAGGTAGAAGGAATGACCTGAGTTCTGTCTTCCAAGGGTCAATGTCAGCTATTCAGACCCATCATTATTACCCCTTATACAGCCTGCAGATCAGAAAATGAAGTTAATCCAACCCTTGAAACCCACCACTACACAGTCTCTGGCCCCGTCATCTGGATCTGATAGCCTACACACACAGAAAGGAAAACCTACCGCCAAAATTGGGCCTGAGAAATTTGTTGTATCCTGCTGTGAGGTTCTCAAAGCCAGGCAGGGACAGCTTGTCACTTTTGCTGACTTCGATGTTGAGCTGATTTCCTCGGATGCACTTCCTGGAAGAGAGAATGATTTTCATTTGCACCTGCTTGTTCAGGAGGGAATTACCACGTCTACACATAAACTCGTCTTGGTATGTGGGCATGTGTGTGTGTGTGCGTGCCACACACGTACCAGCAGTGACTCTGCCAAAGAGAAATTCCTTCCTTTTCAGCTGGAGAGCTAGCCTCTCCCTCTTGTTACCATAGATCAAAATGTCACAATAATTCGGGAAACCTCTGAGTGTCATCTTGAGAATCACAAGCAGTTCATCCCTCTGTGGCTATTTTAGAATCCTCTGTTCCCTGCATAGAATACACAGCAGGCTGTTTGCTTGTGCCAGCGCTTTAGGCAAAGGATCATGCTAGGTCTCATCTCGCCACAGGTAAATACCAAGTGCTTCCTTCATGCCCACCACATCCCAATCATAGAGCATCTCAGGTTAAGGCCATCTTGGGGTGGCAGTGCTCACCTTCCAGCCAACAGATGGAGACACACAAAGGCCAAGTGGAGTCTGTAGCTCATGTTGAGGAGTCGCCCACACAGAGGTTGAAGAGAGAATCTCCTAAGGGGAAACGGATGGGGCAAGGTGAGAGGCAGACAAGTCCAACCGCTCCCTTCCGCCCCCCTGTGGCTCATCAGAGCAATGTTTTCTCTATATGTTCTGGAGCAGCCTCTTTTCACACTTCATGCTTACAGCCCCTGCTGCCTGTGTGACACCCAGGAATGACATCTGTTTGGAGGATTATGTCAGAGATTTCGCCTTACAGGCTGAGACCTTTGCTTACACGGTGGTGCCCCAACACTAGAAATGAAGCCAGTCTACCCTGAGCTGGATAACTGGGGAGCCCTAGGGTTTCTTTAGCCTGTCCTTGTCTGGACTTTACCAGAAAAGATACCTCCAAACTCTATATTCATTCACCTTAACCAAGTCAGATGTTTCTCCAGTGTTCCCCAGGGTCTGGGACTGGGAGGCAGGTCACATAGAAAGTGAAGGCCTTTGGAGAGTGTTTCCCACAGCTGCCACTGTACCCCCACCCAGGGCAGCTCAACACTTGTATTCCAGGCAAGTGGCACTCTCACTGGAAGGACCAGAGAATGCCGGAGGAGCCCTGGGATCCAGCGTGGGCTCCCTTGCTCCTCCTCATGTTCTCTTCCTGCAGAACTGGCTGTCACCTGAGCCCCACTGGGCCCGAGGACACCCAGTACTCTCCACACCTCCCAGCCCTGGGTCCTGGGCACTTTGAAGTCATTTAGCTGGGGTGTACGTGAGCACCACTGGTAAATGGGACATGCTGTCAGGTTTCCCACTGACAGAGTGGGATAGGTAGGTGCGTTACACTGGGGACAGCAGGAGTGAAGATTTTTGGGTCAAAGGTTGACTAGAATCTAGAATCTTCCTGCAAACCTTCACAGGGGAAGGATGGGGCAGCCCCAGGGTGCAAGACACATCACTTTATTCTTGAGAGTATGCAGCACTTGCCAGGTGGGCTAGGAAAGCGAGACATTGGCCGGTGCTGGACAGACATGGCGCTTTGTCTGTGTCCACGCCCCTACCCATTGACACTGTCTGTCCATCCAGGTCTTGGCCCCCTGTAACGACTTCCTTGTCCAGCCCAAACTAGCTCAGTTCTCATTTTGAGATTTTTCTCCGTTCTACCTCCTTCTGTGGGAAATTGCCTCTCACCAGTACGCTGAGGATATTTCAAAAGGCTTATGGGAAAATGAAATGAAAAGATAAATTTATTTTGCTACAGAGATTGCTGAGATCCAAGAAGAGTTTTTCATAAGAAAACTTCTATAACCTTTTTGAAGACCCCTCAGTCATGGTGGAACTGTCCAGTGTTTCAGCTCCAAGACTGTCACTGAGTGGTGCTTTCCCTGTGGTCAACTCCATGTTAGGGTAAGAGAATGAGTGGGCCCTGTGTCTCTGGCCCCCACTAAAGGGGCTCATGCTGTGGGTCGCTGAGCACCTGTGGTTCTGTAACAGAATTTCTTCTGTTATAGAACTGGAGACGTTGAGGAAGACACGAATGCCTGCTGGATGCGTGATGCTGTGTTTAATCTCATTTAATTCTCATGGTTGTCCAGCCCAGTTCAGTTAGGAGTTGATGTTTAAAGTCAAATCTCAGATTTGGCTGAGGTCATGCAGCAATCATGTGGCCCTGTAATTTGAATCTCTGTCTCCTCCGGGCCCTGGTTGGTGCCCTGTGTGTGTGTGTGTGTGTGTGTGTGTGTGTGTGTGTGGCACATGGTCGGGCAGAGGCTCTAGATCGCCAAGATAAGAAACCGTTTTTCTTACAACAATACCATGTCTTGTATGGAAAGGTTTATCTACAGTCCGACCCAAGATGCAAGAGCGGCTGCACCATCACCCCATGTGGAGGAGGAGCCAACCGTTCAGTGTGTATGCATTTACTAGGCTGAGGGTGGCTTGGGCCGCTGGGCTCTATGGGGCATGGCATTTGGTGGGGGAGAGGATGCATGAGCCACTAGAGGGCAGTGTCCTCACAGCTGCAAGGTGGAGGATCGAAAGGAAAGCCTGGACCCTGTGTCTGATGGAACCTTTTGTTCAGGAGATCACCTGAGAAGGGGAGACCACACACTCTTACCCTGCCCCAAAGGAATTTCTAGCTGAAATCATCTCACCTCTACCTGGAGAGCTTGGACTGAAGATGCCCACACACTTGAATCATTGAACTTGTCAGAGCCTTGGTTTTCCTGGCTGATAAGTTGGAATAGAAAACACTCAACAGTCATTTCATTTCTCTCCTCCTTCCGGTGTGTGTGGGGAATTTGGTGATCCCACCAGGATGGAGAGACACCCTCACCCCAACACAAACTTTTTCTACTCCACCCAAGCTGCCCCATGGAGCTGTCTGCCCAGGAAGGACAGGGGCTGACGCAGAACATAAAGGCCAACTAGGTGGCAGATGACATTTTACCCCTGGGCTGGCTCTGAGAAGCAGAGGTCATCGTCATTACGTTCCCACGGTTTCCAGCCTGCCGACTGACACTGCGAAGCCTAATACCCCAGGTTCTGACCAAGGCAACCACTGTTTCTCTGTTCTCAGTCACTTCAGCCGAGACAGAATCTTTTGTGGGGAAACGGGAGTGGAGCCCCAGTTAGCTGAGAGGCATGGCCACTCTGGATCCCCCCTAAGAAATTCAGAGACAAAAGAGATGTGTGTGTGTGTGTGCTGTGTCTGCTGAATCCAGCTGCCGGGCTATCCAGAGGTGTGCAGCTATAGCTCGGGGGGCAGACCATGGGGCTCTGCAAAACTTTTCAATTAGTCAACTAGTTAATGAATTAGAGATAATTAAAGATAACGGTGCATGCTGATGGGCTGCACTGGGACATTTCTGCACACGGGTATCATGTCATTAACATCCCCCTTCCCTCCTCGTCATAAGCCCCGAATCTTGGAGCACCTGTCTTCTGTGCTCACAAAACACCCATAGGAGATTAGGATCTGGAATCACCCGACAGGCCTGGGTGGCACACTAAACTTGTTCTTTCTATCTCAACTGATATGGGGTTTTAATCTTGGCTCTGGGAATGTGTTACCCTTGCAGTGACTTAGTTTCCTCTTTGCAAAAGGGATAGTCTTCAAGAGTTCATCCATTGCGGAGACCCAAGGCCAAGGAGGTGCTGGCAAGTGCCAGGCCCTGCTCCCTCCCTCAGTCCCAGCAGGGCTGGAGTTTGGGTCTCCCATCCTTGGCTCTCTCTAAGCTCCAGCAGGGGCCAACAGTTCTCTTACCAGGCAGTTGTTGAGGCTTTGTTAAGGTTGGAGCTTCTGGGCTTGAGGTAGGACTTGCAGGCAGTGCATGGTCTTCTGGGTCTTCAGGGCTCACCCCACTTTCTGCCTTGTCCCTTGGAGGAGGACATGCACTCACCTTCTGAAGGAGTGTCTCTCTCTCCCTGGGGAAGAAGCAGCCGCTAAACCAGCAGAGGCAATACCAGAGGTGGGCATGGCCTGCTGTAGCTCCACCCCTGATAGAACTGGGCCTGGCCTGGGCATCTGTTTGTGGAAATGATCCAGCTCCTGTCATAGTTACACGGAGCTTCAGAGGGTCAAGATTCAGGTCAAGCAATTGCATCTGCATCCCATCAGAACTGGAATCCTGCTTCTATTCTGGTTGTACAGTCAGTGCCCCTCCAGACACAAAAGAATCCCAGGAGAGTTCAGTGAAGCAGATGCCTCTACTCAACCCTGCCTGGCTCTGCAATCACTGTTCTTCCCTGGTGCAACGGGAGCTAGTGGGATGTCCTGGGGTGAGCCCTTTCCTTCCTTAGCTCTCAGCTCTCCCTTCGTAAAATGAGTAGTTGACCACTTCTAAAACTCCCTGGCTGTGCATTTTAAAAGAGTGTCTTTGGAGCCCTGACATGGTGGCTTAATGGCTAAATCCTCACCTTGCAAGTTCCAGAATCCCATCTGGGTGCTGGTTTGGTTCCTGGCTGCTTCATTTCCCATCCAGCTCCCTGCTTGTGGGCTGAGGAAGCAGTAGAGGAAGGGCCAAAACCTTGAGACCCTGCATCTGGAAGAAGCTCCTGGCTCCTGATTGGCTCAGCCTCAGTTGGCAATCATTTTTGGAGTGAACCAGTGGATGGAAGTTTTTTTTTTTCTCTATCTCTCCTTTCCATAAATTTGATCCCAGCGGGCCAACCCCAGGGAGGTGTGGTGAGATTTGGTTGGGTTTCCCCATCTTTCTTGCTTCCCCCTTGTCAGTCTCACACAGAGGGGTCTTTAACTCCCTCCCCCCCACCCTCTAAGCCCTGTTAGGAGCACTCCATAAGACTAAGACTCCCCCCTGCCTCAATGGCCATGGGAGTGTCCAGGCAAAGTGCTTCTTCAGAGTCCATGGAACCCTCCTTCCCTTATGTCCTCTCCCCCTGACTCCTACCCCCCAAAGCCGGTTGTCCTGAGACGGCAAGCCTTGCCTCAGGTCCTGGAATCTTGGCTTCTCACCCTCAAGGCTGTAGGGAATCGGGGAGGGCCAGCAGGCAGTGAACTGGAGGGGCAGGAAGCTGGCAAAGGTGGTGAATGCCGGGGGCAGGGAGTGAGCTGAGGCTGTGACCAGAGCTCAAAGGCACCTCCTTCCCTTCCGATGCCAAGGCCGAGCTGCTGTCCAGACCCCTGCCTGTCCTGGAGATGGGCCGGTGGGTTGAGAGGGAGGAGGAGAGCAGGTCCTAGCAGCTGTGAGGAGTAGAGGAGATGGACAGGAGGGGAACCAGAGGTGCCTTTGGCCCTGAACCAACTTCGTCATGAGTCTCTGGAGCCTGGCAAGCCTTAGACACATCTCTGTGCCCATGGCAGGGAGTGGGCACTTGAAGAAAAAGCTCTTTACATTTCTCCAGATAGGTCTTACTATCACCCAAGAGCCCTGAGGGAGGGCAGCTATGACAGGCAGGGCTGAGGAACCCACAAGTTGGGTCTCCTGTGAGTGGGCAGTGGTTTGGGGCTTTGCTCAGCATTTCTAAGATGGTCTTACACAAAACACAGCTCAAGAGGAGCAAAGAGAACTCTAAGGGGTGAGAGCAGGGTGGGAGGGGGCTGAACAATGACACAGAAACCAAAATGCACTGGGTTGCTGCACAGCATTGAGTGAGTTCCCAAACACTCTGGGCCTCCATTTTCCATCTGACAAATGGTGATGATGATTCCTCAGTCCTACTGCAAGTACTTGGCAGTGAGTGTAGCTGGCATGTTGCAAGTTCTCAACCAATGATTCTTCTGGAATGTATCTTTTCATTTTGTACTTCTCTATCTAATCCCTCCAGCCAACTAGGTATGTATGTGTGTATAACCTTTTCCATCATCATCTACCTATCCATATGTGTTATTAATCCATCTTCATCTGTCATCTATCTGCATTTGCCATCTATCTTCCCACCTAATCTTCTCAATCAGAATGTCAGTGATTGTATCCCTTGTGGATTGCTTTCATACTTATCAGTAGGCAGTCGATACATCTGCCGATAGACCGACTACACATAGGGACCAGGGCATGCCAGATTTTCAGTCAGGAAAGTAGAATGACTGAAAGTCCTGTCTCCTCTCATCTAGCTTCTCAAAATTCCTTCCCACCAACTAAAGAAATGCCCAGATGGAGAAATGTCCAAGGAAGCCAGCTCTTACGGAAAGAAGGTCCCAGGTGACCTTGCGCTTTGCCTCCAGGATCTCCAGCAATTTCATGTAGCTTCAACTGTGACCTGTAGCCCCAGGAGACCTGAGGTCACTGATACATCAGGAGGGTCAGGTAGGCAGACACACGGGCTAGTCATCTCGGTACCCACCTCCTCCTCCTCCTCCATGCAGTCACACAGTCTCCCAGGACACGTCCCAGGAAAACAAGGGCCAGAGTGAGTCACTTTGTCTTGCCTTGCACCTCAGTCACGATGCGTGTCAGACACCCCTAAGTCTTGACAATACTGGGCCCTTGTCTAGCGCTTGGCAGTTTTTGCAGCCTTCTACTGTATGTGCATGTCTTATCTTTATTATTATTATTACAATTATTAAAAAATCACATGCTGAGATAGTAGAGTCAGAATTCCAACATATCTGTTTTTCCCCTTTTTTGGAAATATTTATTTTTATTGGAAATGTAAGTCAGATTTACAGAGAGAAGGAGAGACAGAAAGATCTGTCCTCTGATTCACTCCCCCCGAGTGCCCACAACGGCCAGAGCTGAGCTGATCTGAAGCCAGGAGCTTCTTCTGGGTCTCCCTCACAGGTGCAGGGTCCCAAGGTTTTGGGCCATCTTCAACTGCTTTCCCAGGCCAAAAGCAGGGAGCAGGATGGGAAGCAGGGCTGCTAGGATCAGAACTGGCGCCCATATGGGATCCTGGCACTTGAAGGGGGAATTAGCCATTGTGCCAGACTCCATGCATGTCTTATCTAATTGGAGCTACATCACAGCCTTGTGGACCAAGCAGCCTTTGTTTCTTTATTCTCACTCTGCAGGTAAGAAAGCTGTGCAATCACTAAGAAGCTGGGTTTCCAATTTCCAGGCACACCGTCCCTGCTCTGCCAGTTCTCTCGGATCCAAGACATAGATGTCCAGACTGTTTAAAGAATTCAAGATAAAGATTAATGACAGGTGGTGGAAACTCCTTTCCTGGTAATAGAGATGCTTTTTTTCAGAAAGAATCCTCAGAGGTACTTGTTTTAAAAAATGCATATTCCCAGGCCCTCCCCAGATGGGCTGAATCAGAATCCCAAGAAGTGAGGCCTGGAAATATGAATTTAATCAAGCTCTGCAGGCAATTCTTACTCATTCTGAAATTTGAGGAACACTCCTGAAAGGTAGAGTTCCCATTTCAATCACACATTGAGCCAGTAAGCTGGAGTTACTGAATATGTACCTGTCCTGGGCCTGGTACTGGACTAGGTGCTGGTGGTGTATTAGTGACACAATCATGCCTGATCTTTTCCCCTTCTGAAGCTTACAATATAGATGCGAAGACAGACGTTATGTATAGAAAGAAATGCATTTGACTGCAACTTGGAATAAGAACACTGAAATAAACAGGTGTAATAACAGAGCAGGAGGAGTGGGCCATTTTGGACAGGGTGATTTGGAGTATCCTCTGTGACCTTTCAGGCCATTTCTTGGGGATGGGAAGGAGTCAGCCAAATGTCGAGGTGGGATGGGAGGCAGGAATCTTTCCATCTCTCTCTGAAACTCGAGTATCCACAGCAACAGAACCCCTGGGGCAGGCTTGGAATCCTTCTTGTCTCATGGGATTGAGCAAGCCACCCACTGCCTGAGACTACTGAGTGCTCCACCCACTCTCTCCAGCCGGGGCTGCTTTGTTCTTTACCCCTCTCAATCAGCCTCTTCTTAGATGCTGTTAACAGGCCTGGGTAGGTAGCAGAGGACGGTTAGGGCTTGAGCGTCTATCAGTCACATGGGAGGTCTGGATGGAGTTCTGGGGTCTTAGCTTCAGTCTGGCCCAATCCTGTCTTTTGAAACTATTTTTGAGTGAATCATTAGATAGAATATTCTCTCTCTCTTTGTCCTTCTCTCTCTCCTCTCTCTCTTTCTGTCTACTTGACCTCTGCCACTCCACCTTTCAAAAACTTAAGTACATTGTTTTAAAAACCAGAAATGTACTAATAGTATTTTTCTCTCTATGCAGTTTCCACCAACTCCTCAAAGACTCTTCCTTTGTATCTAGAAGAAGCAAGGTTAACCCAAACCATTGCTGAGCCTTGTTTGTTTTTCCCAGATTCTGGCAGGTCTGGTCCCTTGGGGGTGGGGGGAAATTGAAGGTGAAATCCTGGCCAGGTTAGAGGAGCCCAGGAAATTCCCACCACTGACTGTTCACCAGGACATTGTATGAAAACCTCAACCAGCTAATTATAGGGTATTGGTTTCCACATGTGGGTGTGTTCCTCCTCTAGGTTTGGTGTGTAACACAACTGGGGAAATCCAGTCTTTTGGTATTCTTGCTGTTATTGCAACTTAACACCAACTACGCAGCTGCCACATTTAAAGGGAAAAACACCCCATGTTTTGGTGCTGAGTTTGTGGGAGCCACTTCTAATGGTCCAGCAAACATCATCTCACTCAAGTTCTCAGGGGATCCCCAGGCATTTCATACTGACCAGGTGGTCAGAGGTCTGACCTTCTGTCTGGCTGAGCTAGGCTCTGCCACCTCCAGGAGGCCTGGGACCATGCCTCAGTAAGCTTCCTTTCTTGTGTGAGATAAGTTAGAAAGTTATCATTTTGAGTCTACAATCTGACAGCATGAAGGGCATTCATACTATTGTGCAATCATCACATTTTTCTACTTCCAGAACTTTCCTTTTGTTTTGTATTGATACTCCGAATCTGTTAAGCCAAAAGTCCTTATTTCTTCCCTCTCCTG